TTCTTCGTCTTCTGAACTGCTTCCTGGAACTCGCATATTCAATTCTATTGGCGGCGTAATCTTTGTCGATTAGGCAGTCTAATGATATACCTTAGACGCAAATTTAATTGTAGCCGACCCCCTTGAAACCTGGATGACAGAATACAACCTTGTTGAACGTACATTCTCGTGAAGGCGATGCGAGCAGCGAGGGAACGATAGCAGGCTCTATGGCATTCATAGACACCGTTCAGTTTCTTAATCCGGCCATGGGACTAACGGTAATAGAAATCGAAAATGAATTTGACCCATTTTCGAAGAACTCGGTGGCCTCAGGGTGTTCGGACCCACGCTAGTATGGGGAAGGATTTAATACAGACAGTGCTCCAGCCATGTGAGCAACGAGGACTGTCGTGTAAATTGAGCCAGCTGTGATTAAACTCACGTCTCCCGCTGGGGACCTCGTACCTTAGTTAGCTAGAGCATTGGCTGTATTTTAGCCCTCTCCCTGCTGACGAGGGTTCGAATCTCACCGAGGTCGACGAGATGTTCACAAATGGGCCAAATTAATCATTCGAATCTGCCCAACTTCCCCACCTACGAAGCGAAATTTGTCACGAAGTCAACCCATCAGATGGTGGTCGACTGTTAGTAAGCATCGCGGAGTCCGTGAATGCGAACCATTGTGCATACCTGGTTGGTGCTTCGGTTTCCACCTCGGAACCCGGTTTGACTGGACGCCGTCTGGCAATGAGCCTTTTTGAGCACTTGATCCTGACGGTAGTGCCTACCCAAGACAGTGGCGCCCTTCAAAATCATTAGTTGGTCGACAGGATTGAGTGGATAGACTTCATTGTCTCGGAGGTTATCTACGTCTGGTAACAAAGGTTGACAGGAGGCGATACGCAAGGGGACCGGTAACTGAAGGTCGCATCAATCCTCCGGTCGGCGCACTCCTAGCTCGCGCTATGCAGTCAATCCGTGAAGTATCTTATCGTGAAATATCTTAGCGATGGTGGTGTTTGCCTTACACGTGCTGACGCCTGCGAGGAGGACATGGCTGTGTGGACAGGGTAGAGAACTAATAGTCTTTATTGCCCTCCATCTTGCCTCTTCTTAACGGCAGCCTTAGCCGCGGACGCCATTTCTGCTGCTGCACTCTACTGCAACGCAAAGCGATCGCCGAAAGACAACCGATCCGAATCGCCTGTGCACCTAGTGCTTATCTTCGGCCATAATGGATACCAGCTGGTGCACCTGCGTCCGTTCAGCTCTGGCCTCCGTAGTACACACCTGCCGTTAGTTTGGGCCAGTTGGGAGAGTTGATCCGGTTTTCAAGAGGGCTGACCTGACTGTTCTATGTAGACCATTTTTTCAGTTGCTTGACCGTTAACCTTCAGAAGAAGAACATGCGACCACTGGAATAAGTGTTTTATTTTCCTGACGTTTCGGATTCTGCCGAGAATCCTTAATCATAGGAAATGGTAAGATAGTCTGAGCTATGCGCAGGTAGGGCTGATACGTGCACAGATTGCACGGTCTTTATAGTTCGTGGCGGTCGTCCGCGTGCGTACTATAATTATCCGCTCCTGTAGCTACCGCTTACGGCCTTAATTTTTGCGATGATGGATCGACACTTCGCGTTCGACTCATTAATGGCCGTGATTTCCTTGTCAGTGCCGGATGCGGGCTTGGTCACTGCGCGACAATTATGCTCGCTGTCGTCAGAGTTGTTGGGCCCGGCCCTTCCCACGTGACTGATTCTTCTGTTCGGGCAATGACTCAGTACGCAGCATGGGAACGCCAAATCGTTGCGCTTGTTGATGGCTTGGGGGCCTGAGAACCA